GTGAACTTTCTACATGCTAAATACAATAACAGATGGTTAACTGAGGAATTTGAAGATTAGTGTAATGTTTAGCTTAACCTGTTGACTGCTCTTTCTTCATATATATGTATGTATGTATGTATGTATGTATGTATGTATGTATGTATGTATGTATGTAAAAGGGGAGGAGAATTTACTGTTTTTTCTTTTTTTCAGCATTCAGTCGGGGCAGATTCTATACATTAAATGTTAAATCTATTTGGTATTTGGATCACCTTTTTCTCTTTTTTTGTACACCATTTTTGTTGTTGTTGTTAGTGCTGGATGTATGTTTTTGTTTTGTATTTTATCTTTTATAATAAAACAAAATAAATATACTTAAAAAAAAGAAAGACAAAAAGGACAAGTATAAAAAGTGGAAAAAGGGGCACATAACTAAGGCAGAATACTAGCATATAGCCTGAATCTGCAAAGATGAAGTTAGGAAAGCTAAGGCTCAAAATGAATTAACACATGCAACACATGTAAAAAATATTAAATAGGTTTCTTTCAACAAGTAAGAAACAAGAAAAAACTCAAGGAAATGATCAGTCCACTAAAGGGAGAAAATAAAACCGCTTAATTCATTCTTTGTATCTATATTTACACAAAAGGAAAAATAGTCCAATCCATCAAAAGCAGTACTGTAAAAGACAGATTAGGATTACAATTCAAAATAGATAAGAAAATGGTAAGATAACACCTATCCACTTTAAATGAGGTCAAATAGCTAAGAACAGATGGATTACATCCCAGAATTCTGAAGGAGGTGGCAGATGTGATTTTGGAAGCACTGAACCATTCTTTCAAAGTTCCTGGAACAGTGGAGAACTACCAGAGGATTGGAAAAGAGCTGATGTGATTCCCATCTTCGTAAAAGGAAAAAAAATGGATCAAGGAAACTACAGATCAATCAGCCTGACTTCAATACCTGGGAAGATCCTGGAAAAGACAACTAAGCAAAGGATCTGCAAACACCTAGAAACAAGCAAAGCTATTAGTAGAAGCCAACATCGGTTTGTCAAAAAACGGATCATGAGGGCTTCCGGTTCCGGTTTTTGACACTGGCGGACATGCGGAGAGATTTCTCTCCCTGCCGTCCGGTTTTTCTCCTTCAGAAGATCCTGGAAAGGGTGAAAAGTCACCCTGGAGGGGCGACCACCATTGGGGGGAGACTCTTGCTGGATTGCGAGGGGGCAGCAGCCTCTCCGTTTGATCTGCAGTAACTCCTCAGGACCGAAGAAAAGAGCGGCCATTAACATGGCCCCTCACTTAGTCGAACCAACTGAAAGCCCAAAGCACCAACTAAGCATGAAGTAGCAACTGGAGAAGTTGGGTGAGACCCTATTTTTCCTTTTTTCCCTCCCAACTACTTTCCTGTAAATATTTGTGAAATACCCCTTTCCCCCAGCTGAATTTTGCAGCTCTTGCTCACTTAGGGAATATAAAGCCAAGAAATACATACATAAAAAAAGGAACAACAAGATTAAATGACTACTTACCTGGACTTGTAATATCTGGATACCTGGGCTCCCTAAAAGCTCTGTATCTCGACGAAAACTTACTGTTTTACTTTTTTGTTAAGGGGGGGGATGGAATGTTCTTTGTTTCCCTTCTTGAACCAGAAAAAAACCCTATTTTGTATGTTACTGGGGACATCTAGTGGTGAAAATGTGCTACAAGTGGAATAATTTTTTTCTAACTCGGAGATCTCTGAGACTAAAATTTGGCCTTGACAGCAACCAAAAGATAAGAACTTGAAACAGCTGAAAATAGTTCTTTATAGTGGAGGTGGACAGTTATTGACTCTTATTAAAAATAGCCTCCACTAAAAGACTGTTAAAATTATAGAAATGGAGGAATACCACCCACAGTTTAATGTCAAACTTATACTTGAAAAAATTATAGAGGCTACTGAACTAATGAAGTCTACAATGAAAGACTTACATGCCACTTTAAAGCCACAAAAGGCAGCTTTAACCCCATTAGAGGAACCCACACTTCAAAAAGCAATAGAAGAAGGAACTAATAACAAAGTGGAAGAATGTCAGAAACAATCTACTCAGACCTTTAATACTCAAAGCTTGACCTTACTTAAAGACTTGACAACTACAACAGCAACAGAAACTGATCAAAGCAATGCTAAGATGGAACTTCCAGAGAATTTATGAAATACACTGAGATTTCAGATAATCTAGATGATCCAAAAACAACTACAACATCGAACATGAATCTTCATCTACTTCAGTTGAAATTAGAAGAAGACCAATCTGAACGCATGATAAACACATTAACTCAGATATGGAGATTTAAACCATTGGGTCAACAATTTAACGACTGTGAAGGGACTGGCTTCCTTAATAGGCTGATGATTGGATGGTCTCACCTGTTTCAAATGATATATCCAGGAAGGAAGGGAAAACCATTTGAGGCCCAAAAAGCTTTTTTATGGAAGCCGGCTTGGCATAAAAGGAAGGCCAGAGTTAGATTTTAAAAAAAATGGTTTTCTTTGTCTGATATCTAATGGAAGAGCTTTAAACTTTATCTAATGAGCTAAGGAGACTTTAAAAGATATTATTGGATTTAATAGTTAGATTTATACATCTAAGGGAAATAAATTAGTTATTTAAATAATTGTTTTGAATTATAAATAGAAGATGGATTCAGAGGATAAAGGTTATTTTATGAGTAAGCAATGATATTAAAATGAGAATTAGAATATGATGGTGAAATAAATTAAGAATTTATTGGAATAAACAATAAGTGTATCTTAGAGATGATACTATTTTGTATGAATTGAACCGTGGGCTATCCAAAATCTAAACATTATTGGACAGTAAGCCAACTCGAATACTCTAATTGAAACCAGACAAAAGTTAAAAACAGGATTTGGAGATATATAATCTAAAAGCTGTTTATAAATGTTTTAAATGATTGAGTTATAACTAGCAACCTACCAATTTGAATTTGTTATAATGATTAAGGGAAACAGAGGAAATTTTTGATGATGTAAACTGATATATGTATGGATAAGCGTGTTATTGGATTATGTATTACCCAACTACCATGTTGCTTCCTTAAATACCTGAAGGTTTGTAAAAATGGAAAATTAATAAAACTTGTTATATTAAAAAAAACTGATCATGTCAAACCATCCTTATTGCATTTTTTGACAAAGTGAGTAAATTAGTGGACCAGGGAAATACTTTGGACATAGTATACTTGAACCCCAGTAAGGCATTTCACCAAGTAGACCATAACCTCGTTCTTGGTAAGATAGAAAAATATGGGATAGACCTCATCATCACCAGATGAATTCGTAACTGGCTGATTAAATACACTAAACATGTAGTCCTCAATGGAACTGAATCCAAGGTTCTGTCTTAGGCCCAGTATTCTTCAACATCTTCATAAATGATTTAGATGAGAGGATGGAAGAGGATCCCATCAAATTTGCAGACAACATCAAGATGGTGGGAATAGCCAATAATTTAGAAGACAGCCTCAAGATCCAGAAGGATTTTGATAGACTTGAACATTGGGCACTATCCCAACAAAATGCAAGTCAGTGGTGAGAAATATAAGGTTGTACACTTAGGCAAGAAAACCAAATGTACAAGTATAGAATAGGTGATATCTTGTTTGACAGCAGTAACTATGAGAGGGATTTAGATGTCCTAGTATACAAACACTTAAATATGAACCAGCAGTATGCTGCAGCTACCAAAAAAGCCAATGAGGTCCTAGGCTGCATCAACAGGGGGATAGTATCAAGGTCAAGTGTTTTGCATCACTTTATACTGCTTTGTTAAGACCACACTTGGAATACTGCATCCAGTTTTAGTTACAATGATACAAAAAAGATGTTGAAAGCGTGCAGAGAAGAACAAGATGATTAGCAAGCTGGAGGCTAAGACATATAATGAATGGTTACGGGAAGTGGGAAAGTATAGTCTAACAAAAAGAAGGAGTAGGGGTGACATGATAGCAATCTTCCAATATTTGAGGAGCCGTCACAGAGAAGAGGGGGTCAACCTATTTTCCAAAGCACCCGAGGGCAGGATAAGAAGTAATGGATGGAAACTTATCAAGGAGAGATCTCCTTAGAATAGGGAGAAATATCCTGTCAGTTAGAACTATCAATTAGTGAAGTAGCTTGCTTTAGTTGTGAGTGCTCCATTACTAGAGGTTTTAAGAAGAGATTGCATAGCCATTTGTCTGGAATGGTATAGGGTCTCTTGCTTGAGTGGGGGATGAAGTAGAAGACCTCCAAGGTCCCTTCTAACTCTATTCTGTATTCTGACTTCCTCACTGTTTAATAACCTATCGTGTTGGAACCAGATGAAATTGATTCTGATTCATAGAATCAGAATCAATTTTTATTATGGTCACAGACCAGGACAAAAGTTAAACATTAAAATAAATACATTCTCTAAAAATATTGGAAAATAACTTAGCAAAGTAGTAATATGAATAAAGATCGTTAGTTTTTTAGATATCTTTTCCTTATTATCATTGCATCAGCACAAAATTTTGCTATTGCAGGAGTGGTGGCTGGATTTGAATCCTGAAATAGATGGTTCACATAGAAATTATCTGATCTCCCTAGAAATCTCTCTAACACAGGGAGAACGTATGTTGATCTGATGTCCCTGTAGAACCTGCAGCACAATAGGACATGTGAGATATCTTCAATTTCCCCATTGCCACATGTACATATTCACTCAGCTATTGGAGTTTTATCATACCTGCCCTGTAGGAGTGCTGAGGGGAGGATATTAAGTCTGGCTCTAAAAATCTATTCTACTCTTAGGAAAAGTTAGATCTTTCAGATATTTTGCTGGTTCCCACATACTCTGGTTTCTCTTCAGATCACATATATTCATTAGAAAACACACTTCTGAATGTATTGAGCAAAAGCCACAACATTCTGAATGCTACTTACTGCTCCACAGAAGAAGAAAAAAGCCAAATCTCTTAACCTTAAATGTTTCTTCTTCTTCTTTGTACACTGGATCCTGTCTTGCTAGGCACATTAGGAATTCAACAGCAGTCAGTGGCTTCTTACTCAGCTGCATTCGGCGTCTTTCAGTTAGGACTGCTTGGACTGCCCGGAGAATGGGTCCCTGAGCATAACCATCAGAAACCTGTGCCAAGCAACTGATATTTAGTTGTTTGGAGAGAAGCCCTCCATTTTGCTGAATGAAGTGTTTCCATAAAACTGTTAAAATGGTTATAAAAGCAAGGAAATCAATAGTTAGAAAGCTGAATTCACTGAATAATAATCATAGTAGTAGGTGACATGCAAAAGATTATTTTTAACTATTTGATTTTATAATGGTCTCCTCATTTTAAAGCTATTAAAAATTTTGATATCTGCTTATTTTTCAGGAAGGTCGGAGTGATTTGACAGTCAACTGCAATTCATTACAGAATCAACCCACTTTTAAAACCCATTTTAAAAAGTAAAGTAAAAATTAAGCTTCTTTTCTCTGCAAAATAACCCCAGTAGTATGCGATAGTTTAAGTCTGCTCTGACTGCAGCAATTCTCATTTGGGATCATATGGCATCATTTTTTAAATAGTTCTGCAACTAAAATATACTTGACATGAAAAATCATTCATTTCTCTAATAAATAACAAACAAAATGCTTTTTATTATAGTTTATCATTTTTGGTCTAGTCTAAGTGGAAACTATTTGCAGTGTAAATTTAAAACGATTAAGCATATGGTGCAGAAAATGAAGAAATTTCCTGATAGTTACAAAAATTACCATATTTTTCCGTCTATAAGACGCACCCTTGTATAAGACGCTCTCTGCACCGATCAGCTGTTTGGCGGAGCGCTGACCAGCTGAGCTGGCAAATCCGCAAGTTCGGCTGGCCAAAGATCTTGCCCCCTCCCCCCTCCCATTAGTGGCAAGCCCACAGGGGCTTGACACCTGCACCAGGCAACATGGCAACCCACACAGGCATGCCCTGGGCTGCGGAGGTTACCATTATTTTTCCATGTACAAGACACACCTGATTTTTGAAGAGGATGTTTGCAGGAAAAAATAGCATCTTATACACGGAAAAATACGGTAATCAGTGGAACGACTTGCCTCCAGAAGTTGTGGGTGCTCTAGCACTGGAGGCTTTTAAGAAAAGATTGGGCATCCATTTGTCTGGAATGCTATAGGCAGGGCTTTTTTTCAGCCGGAACGCGGCNGAACCGCGTTCCGGCACCTTTTTCCGGGCCGGCCGCACCGGAAATAGCCCCTCCCACACCGGAAATAGCCCCTCCCAAATTTTACTTGCATTCCTGTTCTCTAAAGGGGCGGTCCTAGGGTTTGATGAGGGCGTGGCCAGGTTTGAGTTCCGCCACCTTTTCTCCGAGAAAAAAAGCCCTGGCTATAGGGCCTGGGTCTCCGACCTATGGGCTGTGGCCTGTTGACCACTGGGCCACAGGAACAATTTGTGCATGTGCAGGGGCGCTAGTGCTGCCGCCAGCATCACATGGGTGCTAATCGCCCGTTTGTGCACGTGTGCAGGTGCTAGCAACCCGCTTGTGCATGTGCACAAGCGCCACCACGGGTGCACACAGCCCGCTTGCACATGCATGTGGGTGCTAGCGCTGCCATTGTGCGCCCATTTGCACATGCGCGTGTGCACACACACATTTCCTTGGTCCTCCTTTTCTCTCCAGTCCACCAACCCAGAAAGGTTGGGGAGCTCTGGTATAGGGTCTCCTGTTTGATCAGGGGGTTGGACTAGAAGACCTCCATGGTCCTTTCCAACTGTTATTCTGTTACATATGTATGTATGTATGTATGTATATGTCTATATGTGTATATGTATGTGTGTGTGTGTGTGTGTATGTGTCTATAAATGAATGTATGATTCTGAGATTCAGTAATGAATTTTCAAGTAATAAACTTAATGCATAAGTACTCTTTTAAAAATTTTGAGGTATTTTTGCAAAAACTAGTTCTATTTTCATGCACTTGCCAAATCTTGAAGCATAGTCCGGCCGCGGCACCAAAATTATTTTCTTATAAACTTTGCAAAATGGTTTGATGTCTGCATCAAATGGTCTGTTAGTGGTTCCAATGATTAAAATTCGATCTTCAGTTTTTAGAGTTTTCAAAATTTTGGGAAGTTGTTTTTTCAAACGTTTAGGTTCCATCTTCCAAAACAAACACAAATATATGCAATCTTAAATTTGATCAAGCATGATATATAGGATTTTTATTTGGAGCTATCCATTCCAAAACAAACTTACTTGACTTCACAGTAACAAAAGAAATATGCAGTGGTAGATTTCACACACATTAAATCAATGTCATTTGTTTAAATTAAGCTAAGCAATATAATTAGTAATACACACACATAGATTTGTGTATTATAGAATGGATTACCAGCTTTGTATTATAAATGTTTTGAGGATCAACCTCTTCAACCACTTCAGAAAGTGATGAATTTTCTTTTACAGGAAGATGCAGTGCCAGAGTTGTGGAAAGAAGCAATACTGCATTACAACTAAAGAAAATAGATCTTAACTTCCAGATTTAACTTCTACTATATATTTATACATAAACTGTATTTGCATTTAAATTTTGATATATTTATATTCAACTGCATATATATGTTGAAAGTTGTCATTTATTAATATCTATTGGACCCAAAAATATTAGTGGTCATCTATTATGTATTCTGCTTTTATAACCTTTGTATGTAAAATTGCAAAAGGCACTTTAAACTAAAGTAAATACCTTGAGATATCTATGAATTCTATGAATCTGCAGGTAAATAATAAAAAATGTAGTGATGGATTATAGTTCATTTAAGTATAGCATCTGCCATAATATAAGCTTAAGTTTCTTTTGCAGTTTTGGATATAAGATTTACAAAATATATCAAACATCAATATATACTGCTACAAAAACACACAGATTGTAAAGAAACTTAACAAACAATGTTTATCAGTGTGGCAAACATTTTAGTCAGCAGAGGGCAGCAATCACATCATAGCCAATTTAAATATTTCTGTCATTTTACAAAGTATGATTCTTTAGGTATTAAACCCTGGAACTTTTTAAAATAATTTCTTAAATTTAGAGCAAATGGTAATACTTTGGATCAAGACTGCCTTTTGATTAGTAGACTACTGATTGGCAAATAGTTTATCACAAATATGAATTAAAAATAGATTAAGAGAAATAAGAAATAATAAAAACAGTTACATAATGGGAACTCACATAGTTTTATAAACATAAGAATAATCAAGTCTAAATTCCTTTTTTTACTCATTATGATTCAATGATTAATTTTAAAATCTGATCATAGCACAGTGCTGCAAAATTAATAATGCCAGACTTTTCAGGAATTGTAATTAATTCTCTTTAAACATGTGATCAATTTAAATTTGCTTTGACTTCTTATTTGCTGTTAAAATTGATTTGGTCTTGTTTTTATTGTGCCTAGTTAAAAATTCTGTGTTAATCAGAAATTATTTACATTTCTTCAACAAGAATATATATTTCTAACAATAAACATAATCCTTTTTGCATTTATTATTATATAATTACCATGCAATAGATTTATGACTAATTGATGTTGTGTGTTCCAAAACCATAAACAAATAAATAAGTAAATGAATGAATGAAAATCTACCAATTAATATGCTATGCTGCCTGTTTGCTTGTACCATATATAAAAAAGGATTTACCTCTTTTTCAGTTTTAGGTACTTTTCTGTAGAATGTTTTTTCTGTGTCTCCAATCCATATAACTGAAGGCTGTAACTGTTTAGCAACCTAGGAGATTAAAAAAGGGTTTTTCTGAAATAAGGAGTAGTTTGCATATTTTTTAATTTTCCAGCCTAATCTTCTGGTGGTCTCCCAGCCAACTACTAACCAGTTCTGACCTTCCAATAGAAAGGAATGTCTGTAACTCTTTGCTTTCAGACATTTCATTACATTTCACTACCCAACTAAGCAACATCATAGGCTTGATGTGCCTGCAAGCAAACAACTAAGAGTACCGAGAATTCCAGAGTTCTGAAGTTGCTTATTTTTTTCCAGATTTTTTGGGGAAAAAGAACAAACAGAAAAGACAAAATAAGGGAAAACTGGAGGAAGAATATAAGACACTTGAGAAAGAATTACAGAAAGATACACAAAACAAAAAGATTAAAAATTTAATGGAACTGAACAAACATAAAATGAACTTACTAGAAAATGAAGAAGTGGCAATGAAAATAAAGGCAGCTAAGCAAACCTTCTTT